GAGAGAGAGAGAGAGAGAGAGAGAGAGAGAGAGAGAGAGAGAGAGAGAGAGAGAGAGAGAGAGAGAGAGAGAGAGAGAGAGAGAGAGAGAGAGAGAGAGAGACTGAGAAACAGAAAGAAAAAGAAAAAATGATAACGAGAAACAAACAAACAAAACAAAAAGAAAGAGAGAACGAGAGAGAGAGAGAGGAGGTGAGAGGGGACGCACGAGAGTTCCCAGTGCAACTACTGAACAGTTGCACTCACCCGCCCCCTGCCTTTGCCCTCGACGTTATTCTGTCATCCACCTGGCTTCTCTGTCTCCGTTCTCTTTCCATCGGACCAAATGTGCAGGTTTTCCTACTGTGGGTGTTAAATGCTCCATGTCTATGTGTACATGTGTACACTGATATACAGATAGATAGGTAGATAGATACGTAATTACAGAAACATTTACTTGGACCCGAAGTCTGCGCCAAAGGCAAACCGACACTTTCGGACAATGTTAATTTCTCGTGAATTGCACTGGTTCTCAGAAATAAAAAACATGATAGCACTTTATAAGAGCGCAACTAATTTTGTAGCATATTTACATTTCTCACCATTCTTCTTTCTGTCCGGTCATCGTCGCGAATGTCATCACATTATCATCATTTTCATTACCATTCATAATACTTTTGAACGTCACCACTTCCGCTCTCAATTCTTCCCTTCATCGCATTCTCCTTTCGACATAACCATTATCAACATACAAAACATCAGAACCTAAATAATGAATAATCAACAACACACAAAAAGCAACAACACAAACAAGTAGAAACCATCACAGAGCCCGAAAACACCGCGCGATTTCCACCACCACCGAAAATCTTCAATCCCAAAACTTGTCTTTGAGAAAATATTGCGCCAAGTTTCCCGCCATAAAGACTTATGCTGCGTGTCCAAAAGTTTGACATTTATGACATTTATTTCCCGAGGCCACGGAACCTAGCCTTCCAGTCCCATACAATCGTGTTACAATCTCCGTTATTTCCACGGAAACCATTTTGTCCACAAAAAATCTCCATGGTTGAGGAGGGCGTGACAATTGTGAAATCGCGCCGACTTTCTGGGACCTCCTTCCCCTCTCCTCTTCTTCTCTCTCCTTCTTTCCCTCCATTTATATTGTGCTTAACAGTTCCCTCCTTCCTCCCCTTCTTTCCATGCTTCGCCCGCCCCCTTCCCTCCCTCCCTCTACCCTTTCTTATGACTAAACTACTCTTTAACACTCTCCTCATCCATCCTTCCTATCCTTTTCCCTTCCTCCTTTCGTTTCCCCTCTCCCTCCCTTCCTCTTTCCTCCCCTCTCCCTTCCTCTCTCCTCCCCTTTCCCTTCCTCTCCCCTCCTCATACCCTTCCCCTCTCCTCCCCCCTCCCTCCCTCCTTTCCTGTGACTATGCTTCATCTTTCCGCCGTTCCGAATAACAACTGACAAGCACAATGCGCAATCGACGCTAATTTCAATCAAAATTAATTTTACCACCAGATAGACGAGGTGGACCAGCAGGAAAATTATGAACCTTTAATTGATTTTTTTTTTTCAAACATTGCATCATTGGAATGGATTTTTAGCATCGTATTTATCTGGAGGCAAAATAAACACATAAACAAAATAAAAACTCACGAGGTATTTTTCCATGTTTATGAGGCTTTCTAGGAAGAAGCTTTACAATTATGATCCGCTTACAAAAGTCTATTAGGCCGTCTTTGTCTGTCCCTGTCTCCCTCCCTCATATCCCAGCTCTCTCCCTCTCCCTCTCCCTCTCCCTCTCTCCCTCTTCATCTCCCTCTCCCTGTCCCCTAGAACCTGGAAATGCGAGGATGGTTATGTTCTGGCAAGGTGAAAA